GTAGCAGGGTACTTTTTCGGGTACCCTTGACTCAGTACATTCACTAGGGGAGGTATCAACTCGCACATATATGAAGAGAAAAAAGTAGTCGCACGTCTATAAGAATATCCTATTCTTTTTTTAATGATTGTTCAAAAATTGACTTGTCATTCTGGTAAAAAAAAACAGTAGTCTATAAATAATAATTTTCATGTCAGATGTGTTCATACGAATACAAGTAATTGGAATAAAGATTCTACATCTAAACGCGTTCAATTGCTTTAAAAAGAACGAGAAAATACGAATAAAACTACGTTTTCTTAACGAATATTTCGGCGTTAATATGTGTTTTAGTCTTTCAACACGGTAACAATCGTGAAATTTGCGCTGAAAACAAATAAAAACACTTAATTTAATGTGTTAAAGAAATTGTTAGAATGCTGTTTTTAAATTATTTCAATATCTTATGTATTTTTAGTGAATCATTACTAAAGATTCTCTAGGGCACGAGTCAATATGTTAATCTTATATCATTCGACAGTGGAATGTTTACTCTTTACCGGAAATTAAAAAGGAGGTCTTTGCGATCTTGATAGATAAAACTATGAATAAAATACTTCAAAAAAAGTTTCTGGCAGAATTGAGACACCAGACTTTAAGATTGTCTGAATTCAGATAGGGAAGAAAGGGAAGAGACCTTTAGAATATAGTGCATTTTTATAGTATCTGAAGTCAAATGTTTTAATAAATTGAAATAAAGCATCTTTGTTTGAAAGGCAACATATATCGTAGTACCAAACGAAGAGAAAGGATGGATTTCGTTTTGTAGATATCAATAAAACGAAGTAAAATTCAATAGTGACGAAAAATAATCAACATGGGGATTACTATTAATTGATTTTTTTTCCTTATGATAAAGATTTAATCACTCATAATATAAGATTGCTGATCTTATCAATACTACCTTTAACTAGCTGCAGAGTAATATTGCATACAAAAGAACTATATATACTTCATTAGAAATTAGCGATAGTCAAGATCAAGAAGTGTTAATATAATGCTTACCTGGTTGCTGAGTATTTCTTGCAGTTGTGGTTGTAGTTGGCATCGAAGTTGTTGTTGAAGTGTTCGTCGCTATTCATTATCATAGAAAAATTTATGTAAACAAAGCAGATAGTTTAGGTCTGACATAGAGTGCAATGCAGAACTCGAAGCATTTAAGCTTTAGATGAAGTCTAAGCAATGTTTCAAAGCAGAAAGACGTCCTCAAACAGTTTTCTAATCGAAGTTTTTCTTTCAAAACTGATTTTTGATGGAAAACGTCTATGTTCATCGGAGACCGAAAACCCAATAAAATTTTCGACAATTCTATTCGATTTGACGCGGTTGAATCAAATTAAATCGAATCGCATCGAGTGGAATCAAATCCATCGACACTGTTCTGCTCAAATTCATCGCTTCTGTTACGTTTTAAATACGGGTAAAAGGTTTAAATGTATTGACTGTTGTTGCAGTGCAAGATCATTATTCGAAGTATGAAGTTTGTGATTTCAACCTGTCACATAAATTGCCCACATGCCAGTGTTTTCGTCGTCTTAGACCATTAGAATACTCTGTCGTCATATCAGTAGTGTGAGTGAAATGGCTTCACAGAGATACTCGAAAGAACCGAAGAATACTGTACAGATAAATTGTTAAAAGCTTTCTTTCTTGTCCCTCTTGTCATCAGACGGTTTGAATATTGACATTCTTCTCTTAAGAAAGAAATCTCAAATGTTTGATACAAGCAGGCATAGCCTCCAAAATAATTACCCATACCAAGAGCATCCTCAACATGCATTCTGTGCTTATTAATATTTTTCTAAGGCGGCTGAGTCAGCGGTGCTACAAGCTGTGAAATATAATATACATACACAGTTGCATTACTGATCATTAGTGACATATTCATTCAATTCAATGACTAAAGCACTCTTGAGCTCTAGCGTTTACTTCGTCATAGCTAAATGATCAGTCTTCAATTTCGCAAGGTTAGCCATTAGAAACATGACAGAGAGAATCATGAATGCGTTTTCTTTCGAACTAGATGTTAATTGCAGTTGTCTTGAAAAAAGACTGCCGAGTAAACTCAATATTCACTAGACTCAGTCGAGTATACAACAAAAACTGTTAATAAAGAGAAATGTGACACAATAGAATTGAAGTGCTCTTCTAGAGATTCTAACAGATGACACTTTCTACAGAATCGAATCGAATGAACAATTGTTCAATTTGTTTCGGTTTCTGATGTACATTCAAAAACTCACTACGTCTTCATGCATCCCTAAATATAACTGAAACAGATTCTGTATTTCAAATTAATAGATATAGTCCATGAGAAGAGATGAAATCTTTTTTTCCAATGATTACAATTCATTTTTCTCTGCCATGCTTTATCGACTATTTCAAAGGCTTTTCAACTCTGCTTCACTACTCCTATACCAACACGAACTGCATATATGAGGGTGTGTGAATGTTGAAGAAATAACTTTAAGAAAGATTCGGCTTTCACTTGAACCTGTAGATCACTGTTTGTTTTCTTACTTGCCATCGGTGGACAGAGTTGTTCATTGAAACTAGGCACCGGATAACAAACAGAAAAATTATGACATCGAGGATGATGAACACATCTATGGTTAGGTTCAAAACAAAGATTGTTTGAGCTTTCACATGCAACTAGCTCAGAACAACGCACGAATTTATCGGTACAAATGCCAGTGTTAATAGCACCTGCTATATAGAAACAGGCGCACCCACTATTTAATGAACATGGGTCATATTGAGCAATTCCATGGCAGAATTGAGATTTCACTCGAACTAGCGACATACTAAATTAATAGGAGGATATGTAAAAAGAAAACAAGAATCAAACCTGTAAAGCTTAAAAGGAAAATTGTTCAACATTAGATGAATAGGAAAAAAATATATTTTAGAATTACCTGAATAGAATGAATACGAAACAACGAATTAGTGTTGAAACCATCGCTTGCCTTAAAATGAGACAGAATAGTGACGGCACCCGTCTTTATATACCATGAAGAGATAATGTTTTTCGTATTCACCGAAAGTGAAGAATCGCACCACCTGTTCTTTCGATAAATAGAAATCTGATATTGCTCCATTGCTTTCTCTAAGCACTTAACTTTTCTCCGACAAAATAATCTTTATAGAAAAAAAAGCGTCGTAAAAGCAATATAGGATTGTTTCTGCGATATAGCATTTAATACGCTCGTCCTATTATTCGAAACATGAATATTGTTATTGTCAATCATCGACTTACTATGTA